GGGGCCCCCGGGGCCCCGCCCCACCAGCTCACCTGCTGCTCGCCCTGAGGACTCATCAGCAGCCTGCCTTCCGTGCCCCCCGGCCCCACGCCCCCTGGCAGCCGCCACAGCCCGCTCCCTCTGCTCCCCCACCTCTCGCTCAGTTTCCCGGGTTGTGGGCACCCCAGGGTCTCGCTCAGTGTGTGGCCCTCAGTGGGGCCCCTCCTGTGACACCACCACTCGCTCAGGCTCCCACTCCACGTGGGCTCCCGCCTCCCGCTCAGTGTGGAGCCCCACGGGGCGCTCTGGCTACTCCCCCTTGTCCCGCACTGCCTATGGCACGCTCACGCGCCCTTCGTACAGCTCCTTGTCCCGCTCCTGCTACAACACCTTGTCCCGCTCTGCCTACACCACACTACCCCGCTCCACCTCTCCCTCTGCCTATGCCACCCTGCCCCGCTCCAGGTCACACCCCTCCGGCAGCACCCTGCCCCACGCAGGGTCCCGCACACCCTGGAGCCCCGGGAGGAGCACTCTCACCTACTTCAAACGCAAATACCTGTAATGGAAAGTAACCTAGGGAAAAGCCAAAGCCAGTGAATTAAAGCCCATGTGCAGATGCTTTGAAAGAGGTTAGAAACAGGGTGATGGAGAGCAGCGTGCATAATCCTGGGTATTTATCCACACTTTTGCGATGTGCCAGAAAGCAGGCTGATAGCTGACCGCTGAGAGATGCATTTGATGTAATACTTGTATGTCTTGAGATATGGTATGGAGGAAGGGACAAATGAATGTGCTCCCCATGGAGCCGTCGTGACAATAGTTGCACAGTGCAGGTAATCAGACTTACTTGCTCAGTCAAGCTGTTTTATAAATGATGTGATTTCACTCTCTCTCTTCTCTTGATTTCTTGCAATGCCTATTTCTCAGATCTCCCTGGGTTACAGTACTTGTAGCAAATCTCTCTCCCTGCATGAAATGTGCTGTCCTTGGGATGCTGCACAGAGGTGGCACCAGACCTGCCTAACAGACGTTGGGCCACTGAGTCCTGGTATTGTGGCTCAGGTCAGTTCTGCATGCACTCATATATCCTTAGTTATGAGGCAACAAAAACTGTGGAGGTCATGGAGTTACTAAATCATTACAAATCAACTGAAGAGTTTAAAAAACCAAAAAAGCAATTATAATAAATATAGTATTACTACTCTGGCTGTATTACAGTTCCAGTATCAGGAATCCAAAGGTCAGATTAGAAAGGCTGCAAAACTTGATGAACAATTAATACCAATTTATTGGCTTTCACAACTGAATGTTTTTCATGTAGCATATTCCAAAACTTTTCTCATATATATTGCATGCATTTAGGTACATGGGACAAGCTTTAATTCCAAGGCTGTGCCTTTTTGATTCAGTATAGCTAGGAAACTTCTGCCACCAGACCTGAACTAGAGAAGGAAGTATGACACTATCCTTTCTTTCCAACACCCAGCCCTCCCAACTGAAAGGTTAAGAAGGTGAACCAAAATGTGTTACCTGTTCTTCAGATAATTGGTACCGTTTCACTGCTAACCTTCTCCCAGTGTTTTAGGAATCAAAATCATACATTGTCATAATGGAACTGTCCCCAAATTTTGGATTTGCGCACAAGAATTTTGGATTTACTGACAACACCTCCCATCCCTCCATTATTTTCCTGTAGTGCTCTATTATTTTTAGTAGCAACTGTTAGTGGGGTTTTGTGGTAAGATAATTTTGCTGGTGCTGCAGAATCTTCAGCCATGTAGCAATAGTATTTCAGTAGTATCACTGTAGTTCACACCCCTATGCTCTGTGATGAGATTGAGTAACCTTCCAGGGATTTTGAAAAGGTTTGGTGTCAGATGGTAGCTATGAACATGCCAACACTATCAACTACATAGTAATTCTGAGTATGGTAGAATAAATATTTGCCTGGACATTGTAGTAAAGCGGTCATAACTCAGTGATTTGTTTTTTACGCAGTTTCAATAGTCTCTGTTAGGTATTAGCTGAGAATTTACTTGCTTGACTGACAATAAAAATAGAAATTTAAAACACACCTGTAATTCTGTGGTTTTGGTTTCTTTTTTCAGTAATACCTCTTCAAAATTGGGGAATAAATCTTTCCAGATACACTGGAATGTGAAATCTTCCTTCCACTCTGTTTCTGTTATATTTCCTCTTCCTCGCCCTAAAATCTGAAACCAAGGCTTCAAAATAAGATCTGAAGTTAGGGGAAATCTATAGATTGCCTACTATACCTGAAATACTTAGTTTGGTATTAGAGGAAAAATTCAGTCATCCTCTTTGCTCACAATAAAGCTTTCCACTTAGAGATGCTGCATGAGTTTTTCCTTTGTTTTCATGGTCTGCAAAACTCACAATCCACGGAAGTGCCAAAATGAACAAATCTTTGGGTGGCAGAGGAAGAGATAAAAAAGATACCGACACTATCTACTTAAGAAAAATTGTGATTTTTTTTTAGAAAATATTAATTGTACATGGCACTTACGTCATTATCAAATAACATTTCCGATTTCTGTTCCCAGTAGTGGTTTGACTTCTCCAGTTTTCTTCATTTTTGAGAATGAGCTTGATTGCATATTTCAGCAAATCCAAAGATTTGGTCCCAACCTATTAATGTCACTGGAGCTGTCAAGAGTGTGTGCAAACTTTACTCCCTGCTCTTCTTGCCACACACATTGCTTTTGAAAACTGTAGCAAGTTCATTATAATTAGAGGATAATAGAAATCCTTTAAAGTTCAAAATGATCCTAATACTAAAGAAATTATCTTGAGTGTGTTGTTGTCACATACATCCTAGAAATAACAAAAAGTAGGTTGTAGTCTCCTAGCAAAGTCCATTTTAGAGCCTGATATTCATTTGGGGGGAGGGGGGGGGGAATCTAAACAAAAAAATCCTCAACCTAATAACAACAAAAGAACCCAGCAAACAACAGGATTTAAATTATGTCATTCTTAAATTTTTATGAGTGAAAGGCCCCAACCTATGTTTTATAAGGTATCTCCTGTCACAGGAAGCATGGTTTAAATTTCCACAAAATTACTGTTCTGTTTTGTTTTGTTGTGGGTTGGTTTGTTTGTGGTTTTTTTTTTTCCCCAAAACTGACATGTCTGGTTGTCTCAAATGCACTTTCTTGAAGTAGAACCCACAAGAAATTCAATATTTATTTTTTTTGCCTAATGTGTTTAACATATTGAAGATTAACAGTATTCTGTAATGTGGTGTGATACATAAAGAAGTCTAAGAGAATGGGAGGCCAACTCAAGCATGACAGTTATAGTCATCAGATATTGAATACAGTACTATCATATTTATGTGTTCAGGAACACATTTTAATTTTAATCTCAGTTCAGACGTATTTTATTTAAGTGAGAGAAATATATTCGCTTGTTTCTAGGCCAGTGAAAGTGAAAAAAGGCAAATTCTCATGTATTATTATAGTTACCTTTTCTATGATTTAACATGATAAATAGGAGTACTGGAATTTATTTTTTTTGTGCAACTAAAATAAGGTTGTATTTCTTTTAAAGATGAGGAAGAAACTAGTATGTGATAATTTTCAGTTCTCATCCCTAACAGTTCATTAGACATTTACAAATCTTTTTTTAGATGAGAAGTTATGAAGATTTAGCTGCAAGTTAACTGTTTCAAACTTCAAATGTTTAAGGTTTATGCTTCTTTGGACATTTGCTGGTAACATACCATAAAATGCCTGAGTGAAATGTGATTTATTTTTATGTATTCCATTACCTGCAAGAAAAATATTGAAATGTACAACTCAATGAACCCATTTCCTACCAAGCATTAGTTATAGAGGTAAATTAAATTCAATATATTGTATCAGACAAGAAGATTAAATTAAGGAAACACTATATTCATTTTACTTAGTGTTAAAAACAAACAAAATCTTTTGGAACGTGTACTATGAAGTGTATAAAAATGAAAGAAATGAAATATGCTGACCAGGAAAACATGTGAAAGTATTCAAAATTCAAAAGCTGACAAGGATTTCTTTTTTTGTTATGCAGCAATTTTATGTCACCTGTTGTACATTTCCATTATATCTCAATTTTCAAAACTCGATTTTTTTATACTGCATTTGCAGAAATGTTTTTATAAGCAAAGGTCTTTATTTGTAGAAGGAAATCCTATTCAAATATTTTACAGGCATCCCACCTCTTTCTTTCTTTTGATGTGTTAGATGAGAGGAATTTCTTCCACGCCTCTTTTATATTCCTCCTGGATGATCTTGTTCAAGCTTTTAAATTCTTTGTCTTTGAACTTCAAGGTATGTTATGTAATATGCATGTATGCTCATTTGTATTGGATAATTTTCTGACTCTGACTAACACTGGAATAAAAGTTTAGTACAGAGACCAATGCAGAACTGAAAACATAAAGTGTTCCCAGCCCAGGGATCAAATGCAGTGTACACACACAACTGAGCCCTTGTTACTATTCTGTTGCTTGTTTATAGTAATAATTAAGTCTTCTACCACATTAATTTGGATTTTAAATCTGTTTCAGATATACTAACTGGCCACACCTGTCTAACTTTTCAACTAACCATAATTTTTTTCCTGCACTTCTCTCCTGAGAAAAATTGCCATTGATGGTGCTCAGTAGACTGCATTAGTTATTTGAGCGACCTGTACTTTTTCGTATGTTCACTTCCAGCCATCATACATCTGAACTGCATGTGTGTTTTCTCTGTAAGGTGTATTTTTAGTGCAGGCTGTCTATCGGTACTATGGGGTTTCAATAAAGAGCATTCATAGATATATATGACTTGGTTGCAAAAATTAATAAAAAGAAATAATATCTAGAAAACCAGGAGTTATGTGTAAAGAA